CCTTCCGCGGGCGCCATCCTTGTGCGGGGCAGGCCCGGAGTCCACGCTTGTGCGGGGCGCGCCACCGGCGGCGTCGCCCGCGTGGAGGGGCGCGCGCTCCTTTCGTCACCATCCTCCCAAGGGCCCGTTCGCGCGTCCCGAGAGAGCCGGTCCCCGTCGGCGGCCCGCAGCCTCTGCTCCGGCCGGAGCCGGTTCCGCTCCCGGAGAGAATGACAGAGCTGGCGGACACCAGGGTGAGGCCACCGAGAAGTCCCCGAAAAAGGCCCGACTCAACCCAAACACCGCAGGCCGCGGGAATCTGGCTTCTGCCCTCGTGAATCTGGCAGCCGAAGCCCAGACTCCCACCTCCTGGGACTCCTAGCCCCGACCCTGAAGACCCTGGGAAGCTTCCTGGAAGAAGCGGCATCCGGCCGAGGCCTGCGGGATGGGGGCAGTCGGCGAGGTGGCAGGGTGGGGGAGCGGCTTCCCGGAAAGGGGAAGGAGCCTGCGTGAAAGGCAGGAGGTTGGCGAGAGCGAGAACCAGGCTCCGGAGGGATCGGAGCGCCAGGATGCCAGATCCAGCAGGGCCCCGCAGCCAGATAAAGGGTTTGGACGACGACCAAATGGTTTTAAGGAGGGGATGACATGATGGGATCTGCCGCAGGCTGCTGCCGCGTGGGAAATGGATTTGCGGGCAACCTGGAGTGGGGCTTACCTGCCTGCGGGAAGTTTTCGGAACTTTCCCCCATCTATAACCTTGGCCCCAAGTGCTAGTCTGAAAAAGTAGCCTGGCAGAATTCTTTTTTAATTTTTTTGTGTAGAGATGAGGTCTCCCTATGTTGCCTGGGCTGGTCTTGATCCTCCCACCTCAGCCTCCCAAAGTGCTAGGATTACAGGCCTGAGCCACCAAATGATTTCCGCAGCTGAAGGCCAGAAAACAGGTGTGGGGGAGTCGCAAACAGCCCTCTAGGGAAAATCCCTCAGATAAAAATCAAGCCTGAAAACGACTGATGGATATCAGTGATCTGTCCTCCCTCCCTCTCCCCTTATCAGGAGTAAAAAACATTTTTTTTCTGAGTCGGAGTCTTACTCTGTTGCCCAGGCTGGAGTGCAGTGACATGCTCACAAGCCACTGCAACCTCAACATACTGGCCTCAGGCGATCCTTCCGCCTCAGCCTTCCAAGCAGCCAGAAATGCAGGCCCGCACCACCACGCCTGGCTAATTTTTAAAAGTTTATTGTAGAGATGAGGTCTCACCAAGTTGCCAGACTGGTCTTGAACCCCTGGACTCAGACAATCCTCTCACTTCCGCCTCCCAAAGTGTTGGGATTATAGACATGAGCCACCACGCCCAACAGGAGTAAATATTTATCAGAGATCGATTTCCAAATAAGCAAGGGATGTTTTGGGAAGATGCATCTTTGGTTCGACTTCTGTTCCACACATACTGCTGGGGTGTCCTGCCCCCGGCCCTGTGGGCATGGGAGATAGAGAAGTTGTTTTCTCTCTTGGTTCCCTTCTCACTCTCTCACGCGTTTTTTTTGTTTTTGTTTTTGTTTTGAGTCTGAGTCTCAGTGGCACCAGCATGGCTCACCAAAGCCTTCACCTTCTGGGCTTGGGCTATACTCCCTCCTCAACCTCCTGAGTAGGTTGGACCACAGGTGTGTGCCGTCACACCCAGCTAATTTTAATTTTTTATTTTCTTTTGTAGAACAAGGTCTCCTATGTTGTCCAGGTGGGTCTCGAACTCCTGGGCTCCAGTAGTCCTCCCACCTTGGCCTCCTAAAGTGCTGGGATTATAGGCATGAGCCACTGTGCCCAGCCTCCTCTTTTTAGCCATTGAAACTTTCTGGATATGTGTGCGTCTGGATAAACATAATCGTAAGAAGCCTTACATATTTTTCTTTTGCTTACTCCTCTCCCCATACACACACAGACACTTCCTTCTCAGTAATCTGTGTTGACAGCCAAGTATGTATCCCGTAGTTGTCTTTCCTTCCTTTCTTCCTTCCTTCCCTCCCCCCCTTCCTTCCGTCTTCCCTTCCTTCCTCTCATTCTGTCACCCAAGCTGCAGTGCAGTGGTCCTCACTGCAGCCTTCCTCTCCCAGGCTCAGGCAATCCTCCTGCCTCAGCCTCCTGAGTATCTGGGACTACAGGCACACACCACCCCGCCCGGCCAATTTGTTAAATTTTTTGAAGGGACACGGTCTCGCTTTTTGCCCAGGCGTGTCTCCAACGCCTGGGTTCAGCGCTCCTCCTGCCTCGGCCCCCCAAAGGGCTGGGATTCCAGGCCGGAGGCCTCGCGCCTGGCCCTTTCCTCAGTCTTGACTGATTTTCTTTCCCTTTGCCCTGAGCTTAGGAGTCAGATCATTTGTCTGGCCTGCGACAGGCCTTCCCGGAGTGAGGTCAGTTGACAGTCCCCATCATCAGACTCACTGAGGTGCAGACCTTAGCTCCATTCAGAAACACATTTGCAGACATGGAGCACAAGAAGCAGCACTGAAAACCCCAAGAACCCCACCCCGTATCGTTCCAGTTATGCAGGAAATGGTACGTGGCGGCGGGGGCTTTGGGTAGGTCCCCTGCCCCTTGACATCTGTTTACTCCATAGTCTCCTAGGGCAATTTTCGTAGTGATGCTGGGAAACACGTAAGCATCAAATTGAAGGCACAGAGGTGGGGAAAATGGGTTTCTCTTCTTTTCCTCATTAAAACTTTTCCTTTTTATTTTGTGTTAAATCCTAATACTTTTTGGATGCATAATACCTATCATTCAAGTTGTTGAAGGTACAAAAAGGGGCCGGGTGCAGTTGCTCAAACCTGTAATCCCAGCACTTTTGGAGGCTGAGGAGAGAGGATTGCCTGAGCCCAGGGGTTCGAGACCAGTGTCCCCTCGTCTCTACAATAAATGAAAAAAATCAGCCGGGCATGGTAGCATGTACCTGTAGTCCCAGCTGAGGAGGAAGGATCGCCGGAGCCCAGCGGGTTGACACTGGGGTGGCCATGAGTGTGCCACTGCACTCCAGCCTGGGTGACGGAGTGAGACTCCAACCCCCCCCAGCTAAGAAGGAGGTACAGCCAAAAGCTTGCCCACCTGGGAGCGCAGATCCCACCATCCTAATTTCACTTGTTCAAAGCAATCAGTGTTGTCAGCTTCTTCTAATCTTTCCAGAGATATTTCATGCATAGACAAGCAAACACAAATATATGTTTCTTTCCCTTTTATACTCACAGACAGCAGCAGACCCTAGCGCGAGTCTGCCTTGTGCTTCTTCCATCTGCCTTGAGGACTGTTCTGGGCTGCGTCGACACAAAAGAGCCCTCATTGGCTAATCTCTTTTTTTCTGTTGAGTCGAGGTCTCTGTCACACAGGCTGGGCTGAAGTGCAGTGGCATGATCACGGCTCACCGCAGCCTCTACCTCCTGGTTCAGGTGATCCTCCTGCTTTAGCCTCCTAGTAGCTGGGACTATAGGTGCATACCACCACATCTGGCTAAATTTAAAAATTGTTTTGTAGCCGGGCTCAGTGGCTCAGCCTGTAATCCCGTGCCTTTGAGAGGCTGAGGTGAGTGGATTGCCTGAGCCCGCGGGTTCGAGACCCGCCTGGGCAACTTGGCGAGACTCATCTCTACAATAAAGCAAAAATTAGCCGGGTGTGGTAGCGCGCGCCTGTAGTTCCAGCTATTGGAAGGCTGAGGCGGAAGGATCGCCGGAGCCCAGCAGGTCGAGGCTGCGGTGGCCGGGAGCGGCCACTGCACTCCAGTCTGGGTGACAGATT